CGGAAGAGAAAAACATTAAAAATTCGATTTTGTTTCATCAATTAATTTGATTTTTAATATTACGAAAAATACTTTAATTATTGGCTCAGTTAATTATTAGTTAATTTGATTCCAAAATTAATTTTTCAATTAGGAATTGGATTGATTAATTGAATAGTGTGGGATACTAAATTACCTGATAAAATTATACTACTATTGATGACATCTATGCATAATTTTTTTGTTTAAAACATTAGAAATTAAAATTATCACTTTCATCTACATTGAGTCCGTATAACATACAGATGGTATTTCAATTTTTCTTTTGAAAATATATACGTAATTTTTTTTTTGGAAAATATATACGTACGTTATATATGCATGTCATATTTTTATATTTTAAAATTTACATTCTTTTAAAAGATTCATATGTAATATAATCTTTATCTTTTTAAATTCAAATAAGATATATACACATAAATTAAATAAATATATTAAATAAAAATATTTATGTACCAATATTTTTTTATTATAGAAATCTCTCTTTAAACGAAAATAGTTTTAAAAAACTTTCTTTAATAAAAATGTTTGTAGAGATATTTTAAAAGTTTTTTTTAATCTTTTTTTAATCTATATTTTTATTTTATTTTTAAATTAAAATAAAATATTTAAAATAATAATAATTATTATCAACTAAAAATAATTTTATATCATTGTTATTAATTTAAAATATAATTTATGTGTTATAATATAAATTTTAACCATAATTAATATAATAACTCGTCATGATCCCTACACTTAGTAAAATTGTATTAATAAACTAGTGAACTGAAATAATATATTAAGCTAAATAATAGAATATACATATGAGTGAAGTTATAGGTATTTTTGTTAAGAATATAGAACTACACATATACAGTCATCTAAAATAATATTATCATAGTGCCGGTTAAGCATAATAAATAGTTATCCAAGATGGTAACTATAACACTAGAACAAAACTCTCCATTTTGTAGCGGACACCACAACTAGCTCCAATCTAACCTTGACATGCTCCCATACATAGTATGATAATCGCAGTCCATTCACATGAAAACAGAAGGATAAGCTAGAGTTCAATAAGCAATCATACAAGTACAAAATAAAATCTATACTACACATTCATCTAATCAACTCCCAAAAAGACTCCCATCTAAAACAATCATCAATTCGTCAAACATGAAGTCAACACAGCACACTTCATCATACTAGAAATCATGCAATAATAACAACTCATGACAGATATCAATGCATATTAATAATCTAATCGTCACACATACACCTAGGAGATCTCCCTAACAGCAGAACAGTATAAGTGGCATTCTAATCCTACCGAAACTACTTCAACCATCTTCACGCCCAATGCGCCCGCTCAATCACAGCATATCAGGATATAAATCCTCACTCGAGTTTACTCAGATGATGCTACTTACACAATTAGAAGTCTAGTTCCACTGTCAGGTATAGCACAGCTGGATACAGACTTACCACGACCTTGACATGCATTACCAAGTCACTTGTGGAGTTTACACACGGACTATTCGCAAGGAACCACACACCTTCCCCAGTACTTGGTTAAAAGAATAACTTTCAACCTCATACTCTGTCCCAACACTAGCTAAGGACTTAGAGGAGATTTACCCAAACCAGTGGCTTATCCAAGCACCACTCTCACCCAAATGCTAGTGGCCTATCTAAGCACCACTCTCATTTATATTAGTGGCCTATCCAAGCACCACTCTCAAGAGACTCCATGTGAGCTCTTCTAGTTTGAAAATATTTTCCCTCTCCTCAAGTCCTATGCTAGACACATGTTATAAGGAATCACATGCAAAAATGCATCATACATCATACATGGTCAATCCACCATCATGATCAATATCATCCTATTATGAACATATACACATGTCATATCACATTTAAACATTCATATATATCATTACCAATCATACATATGAATCATACACCACCACATATCATATATCATACATACATGATCAAATCTTCAGCTTTAAACATGCATAAGCATCATTTTCAATCCATATACCTAAACATATTCACGCCTGGTGTAGCCAGCTCGCGCCTAGCCTAACACCAATTCGAGAGCTCTAAGCTCTTCCACGCTCGACACATTCAACTCGCACCCGGTGTCATTCAAACAGAGACTCACAAGAGTCTCCATGCCCGTCACATCAACCCTGCGCCTGGCGCCGTCTAGACAGAGACCTCTAGAGCTCTCCATGCCTGACGCACCTACCTTGCGCCCGACGCCATATCAGAAAATGCCATGCAACATCACCATTTGATATCGCGCCCGACGTGGCTCTCTTCACGTCCGATGTGATTCACCTAGAGACTCCCATCTCAGTCGCGCCCGGCGCGACTAACCTCGCACCCGATGTGATTAGAAAATGGCTGCTTCTGATGAATGTACGTCGATGCCAAGAACATGCGCTTGACGCAAATTCAAACAACAACCTCAAAAACTTCAAAAATTCCATCCAAAACCAGAAAATCAGAAAATCCAACCACATGCAATTCATGAAACACAACACATATGCTTCACACAATTCAAAAATAATCTTAGATTCAACATGCATCTAACAGACGCATCAAAATCATCAAAAATCCCATTTTTCTCAAAACCTCAAAAAATGAGAAGTTCTTCAGTCAACCATTGATTCTCAAAACTCATGCACCAATTGAGTTTCTAAACTCACATGCAACTAAATAAACTATATTCTAGTTTCCCTCACCTGAAAATTGGCTCAAAACAACCAAGAAATAAGGAGAAGAAGAAATTCCTCCGAAGCTCAACCCGTGGACTTCAATCCTCCAAAAACAAGTTTCTTAGCTTGAATTCCAAGAAAAGACAGAAGACATTAGTGATCTAGAGAAGAAGAAGAATCAAACAGAGAAATTTGGGAGTCTCTCTAAAACTTCTCTCTATAATTTCTTTGAGAATGAACTTATGAGGCTTTGTTATCAGAGAAAGTCTTATATACTCTTCTATCTAGTATCTACTACACTCTGAAACTCACTTACTACGTCACAATATATATATATATATATATATATATA